CGAAAAGTCGAAGAGTGAACGAAAAGGGAACGATGCTAAAAAGAGTCACCCGCCAAAAGGTCCCGGGGCTTGCCGAGTCCTTTTGGCGGGCGTCTCTTTTTTGAAGGTCATCGGGGCTGCGTGTTTTGACCTCCAGATCCTCTCTCTGTCTGTAGGAGCAAAAGCAACGTTTGGATCCATTCTGCTAGACTGTTGTCGAAGGGCACGGCATGTGACTGGTGTCCAAAAATATCCAAAAGTCGAAAAGTCTCGAAAAGTCAAAGAGTCTCGAAAAGTCCGAAAGTCTCGCTGCGTGACTGCGTGCTTTCGTTTCCTTTTACCTTTTTGATTGTTTGACTTTTCTCACGTTTTGACTGTTTGTGTTTTGCTTGGTGTCTTGCAAATGGATCGTTGCTGGATTTAGCGAGCCTAGCAACCTTGGCAACATCTGGTCAAAGCCGCATTCGGTCATCTGATGTCATCCGGTCATATTCCATGGATAGCATGAGGAACGCCCTCCTGCTAGGGTGTTCCTACAACTATGTTGAAACGGTACCGGTGCCGGCCAAAGAACGGCAAGCCCAGCTTTGGCTCCTTTGGGAAGTCTTGCACCTGCCAAGATGTAGGCCCTGTTCCTTTGGCGTTGCTCTCGCAACAAGGGTCAGGCATATGTTCCTTCTTCGAAGTGCATTGAGCAAAGACCGAAGGATAATCACCATGTGCGCCCGTATGCTTTGTTTTCTCAACAAATGAAGTACCAGGGAACGACGCTCATCATGTGTCACAGCCAACCGAAATAGCTGCTTGAACTCAGAGTCTACATGTTTTTTGTTTCGATCGAATACTGGAACTGCAGAAGAGGGCTGCGATTCGAGCGCTGAAAAATGGACAGATTGACGCTTCAACAAAGCTAGTCAGTGAAGTCCTATCAAAATGATCAGGACTCAGTACCAACAAAGAACTCAACATAAATAGACTCATTGAGGACCCGTACACCTTTCACGCAAAGTCGCAATGAGGCTACCGGGCCACTTTTATGTAGCCCGCTTCTGGTTTGATCTTCATGACTATGAGCGCATTGCCACCGTTTACAATGTGATCTTGATTTTCCTGACCTTCGACTCGCTTTCCCCAGCATTCCTCAAGAGCTCACAACCACATCAAGCTGAACACACACATGGCATCCTCATGGCATGATACACACTTCTCGTTGGAAGTGCCCAAAGGCATGTCCGGTGTCCTCCAACGTTGTTTGTGGTCTTTTTGCAACATCATGTCGACCACCCTTCCACGCTTCAACAGCGACGTCAACAAACCTGGCGTCCTCCATTTCGTTCGACCACTGCCTGGACTCATCGATGCCGTGGATTTGACGCCGGTTCGGCCCAAGTCTAGTTCGCACCAGCAAGTCCATCCGAAGACCAAACGGGTGGGTTTTCACTCCACTCCCCCTTCCAGCTCATGATGTTCAAGAAATGTATCCAGAAGTCTTTTTCGAAAAAACGTGATGATGCAGCTCGGTCGCATCTGGTGAAGCTCAAGGCCCAACAACCGTCCCACGCTTCGCAAAAAATCGGCAGATCCAAACAGGGTGCTTTCAGCAGGATGCAAGCAGGGTCAGCGCCAGCCAGCGCTACTGATTAAGCTTCAAATCCTTTCCGGAAAGCTCGCCTTCGTCCCCGTGAAGGTCGTGTGCCGGGATCCCTTAAGGGGCCTTATTTCAGGGGCCCTTGCTTCTCAGTCCATGTGAGAGAGGGAACCTCAAAGCTGATACATGGGAATGGGCTTGGGTCTATCTTATTACCAGGGCCCAGTGGATGAGGATGGTTAGGTTGGTTAGCAAAGGCCTTTTTCCAGAATAGTGATTTAGGTAAGTTGGCAGAGAACTTTGGTCCAAAGCCGTTGATGCGAAGACACATTCGTTGGGCGTTCGGAACTGCAGGATTGACACGCAATCGAAGATGATCAAGTTCGTGCTCATCAAAGGCTAGAAGGAAGGAATTGTAGAACACCTATCTCCGTCAATCAAGAAAATGTGGAGCTCAATGACTCTGAAAGAGCGGGAATTGGACACTCCACTCCTGCTCTTGTCCACACCTGTCTGACACATCTCTCGGCATCGACGGAGTCTGCGGGTTTGCATGTCTTCCCGATAATGCAAATTTGGAATTGCATGTTGCAAATAATTTGTATTTGTATTTGTATTTTATGTTATTATATTGCAATCCCTGAATTACTTTCCAAAGTTTTCAGAGGTTCCATGGCACTGGCACCACACGCCAAGATCTTTTATATGAAGGTCATCCACAATCGTCCTCACCTTGCTTCAGGCTGCACCACGGTGGCCAGAAAGGATGCACGAGCTCAAATCCAACAGCAAAAATTGAGACTTGAATTCCCACAAGGGTACAGAAAAGGACATGGAAGAACAAGGATAGCTGATATTGTCTTTAGGGGCCTATCCTTTCTGGAGCCCCGCCACACTCTGAACAAAGCTAAGCGCATCCAACTTATCACAATGGCACAGCCTGGTTATCGTTTTAGCGGAGATCTAACGCTTTTGGAGATTTGTGCCAAATTTCTACATATATCCCACAACCGATCTCTACTGAATTGGCCGGTAGTGGTTTTGGCCGCTGCTCGCACTTTGATGCATAAAGGAATGCCAGAAACTGACAATGGCTGCGGCCTGTCCCATGTCAATTGGAAAAGCAAGCGTGCCCCTCCAGAGCTATTCGCGGCAAAAGCGCTCGCGCTGCAAGTGGCAAGCCGTCTGCGGCTTCCCAACGCAACTGCCGAGATTACGACAAAGTGTCCCGCAAGACAGCTCTAAATCATAGGCTACGAATACAGTGTCAGACATAAACAATCAACCAATGATGTCAAGTATCACTACCTCAAAAACCTCGCAAGTCTGGTTGCAAAACTTGTTTCGAAAGACATTTTACGCTGGCTACTACAGGCTACTGGCTACTAGTGGCACTTCAAGAAGAACCGCATCAAAATGCAAAATTGAAGGCAATATTTTCCAGCTGAAGGCAAGCAAAACAGATCTGCCTTGTCAGTTTGTGACAACGCTCTTTACGCTGGAGCCCAAAATGGTCTGATCTAATTGTCAGATGGTTTGATGCTGGCAGGTCAGGTTACCAATCTTGGTCTCACCTATTGATTATTGTATAGCACATGTGGACCGCTTGACGGACTTGTCCACGAAGACACACTCTGTCTCCTTTCCACTCTTTACGCATAATCCCAGCACCAGCGGCGTGATGCGCGGGAAAAAACATCCGCTCTCCGTTGAGTTTGCTTGTAATTGAAATGGTCTGATTAACATTTGTGCCATCAGGCACTTTGCAAGTGGAGGTGACGTCAGCCGAAGGGCTCTCCCATGCGACTTCGAGCGAGGTGGAGTTGCTTTCCCTTCAGAAGTCTCTGGGTCGCTTGAAGTATGCATTAACTAAAGGAAAGCAGCAGGGGACAAATCTCTCGTTCCGTGCGTCCAGCTGTGGTGTATTGCTGCGAACGCAAAACCCTCACACACCATCACAAAGCAATGTTTTCCACAGGATTCAACCCCTCCTCCGGCTCGCATGACGGATCTCAAGCACCGGAACATCTTTTCAGCGCCCGTCCGAGCAGCGCCGCAAACACATCATATGAGCGACCGGCAAAACTAGGGGTCGTTTGGTGGTACGTTTAGAGCATGGTATCGTTTTTGGGATTGGTATCGTTTTTTCAATCCATATGCAATTTTTTTGGGGAGGTATCGTCTAAATATAACTTGCTCTGGAAGGTGATCTTGCAAATGATGACTAGTAGTCGTCGTGTACTAGTACTAGTACTACGTATAGTAGTAGTAGTAGTAGTAGTAGTAGTAGAAGTAGTAGTAGTAGTTGTTGTTGTTGTAGTAGTAGTTGTTGTTGTTGTGGTCGCCGTCGTCGTCGTAGTCGTCGTCGTCGTGAAGTAGTAGTAGTAGTCGTCGTCGTCGTCATCGTCGTCGTCGTCGTCGTCCTCGTCGTCGTCGTCGTCGTGGTGGTGTGGTGGTGGTGGTGGTGGTAGTAGCAGTAGTAGTAGCAGTAGTAGTAGGAGTAGCAGTAGCAGTAGCAGTAGCAGCAGCAGCAGCAGGAGTAGTAGTAGTAGTAGTAGTGGTAGTAGTAGTAGTAGCAGTAAAAGTAGAAGTAGAAGTAGTAGTAGTTGTGGTAGTAGTAGTAGTAGTAGTAGTAGTAGTGGTGGTAGTGGTAGTAGTAGTGGCAGTAGTGGTAGTAGTGGTAGTCGTAGTAGTCAGTAGTAGTAGTCGTCGTCGTCGTAGTAGCAGTAGCAGAAACAGAAGTAGTGGCAGTAGTAGTGGCATGTGAGTAGGCAGGTGGTGTCTGAGGGGATGCAGACCTATGAAGTGGGTATCGTTTGGTATCGTTTTTGGTATCGGTCTGAACCCATAATTGTTTCCCATCGAAGGAAAGGTAGGAAAAATTAGCAAAAATGACATGGAATGTCCAGCTAGCATGGCAAACCATATGCAAAAGAACCTTGGACATGCACTGTCTCGAGTGTCAACATTGTCAACAGGCAAAGATAGATTCCAAGATGTGTACCGTCACAAGGCTAGGTATCGTTTTTGGGATTGGTATCGTTTTTTCAAGGAGAATGCAAATTGCTCATTTTTGAAGAAACGTGAGTGCCGACCTTTAGCACTTTGCTCATATGCACACTCGCTCACTCACAAGGGGTGGCGAAGACTGCCCTTTGAGTTTAAAAGCTGCAGAACAGGAACCATGAGACATGGCCATCGCATCAAGTAGACTCGTAGACTGCTAATTCTCCCATGCAATACATGAAATGGAACCGCCGCGAGAACTTGTTTGTTCATTTAGTGTACTTTAGTGTCTCAAAAGGCATTCTTCGGTGCACTTGGAATGAACTCAAGCAGCAGAAAAATCCATGAAATCCAATCTCTGTCGGTGGCTAGCGGCTACTTCCAAAGAGCAGTGGAACTGAAGTTAGGAGCCTGCAGATCGCACGATTCCTTTTCATCCACAAGGAAGGCAGTGCACGGGGCCATTTGTTTGCCACAAGTAGCTGGCAAACCGCCCGGATAGAGAAAAGTTGCTGCCTCAGAATGCAATGGTTGTATCCCGAACCCACGGCTCTGTCCCAAAACCCTTGATTGGAAAACAACAAAGTGTCGCAGAGCCGCTGGCAGAGCCTCATGCTGTCTCTTGCGCCGAAGCACCCTGAACACCCTCGTCCCTCGTCTGTTCCTCAACTCAGACCTCGCTAAACCACTAACAAAATATATGTTCCTGACAAGAAAAATTATGTTGATTGATGTTTCAATGGTTTCTTCGCTCCTACAAGGCTGCAACAACACCCGACAAATGGACCACAAATTGCACATTCAAAGCACGCACACCCAGAATTTATGATGGGTTGAAGAAAATGGGTGGTCTGCGGGGACAAGCAGAAACTGCTGCGGTTCTTCACCAGTATCACCACCACTGGGGAAACGGGAACGTCGAGATTTCACGTGAATCAGAATTCCCAGCCGGTGCCCATGGTGTTGGACAGACGTCATCTGTAAATTAACCACGAAATGTTCCGCAAATTTCAAATAGATCATTGATATTCATTGATCATGGTTTATGTGAACTGCGCGTTGGGGTCAATTCCCTTCAAATCCTGAATCTCCCCACATGCGACCACAGGCCTTACATTCATGCGCTTGACGCCATATGCATCGATCCGAGGAGCATTTTGCAGCGGCAGTGGAGCAGTCTAGCCTATACCTCCTGGCGGAGCAACCAGGCGCGCCCAGCTACTTTGCATCCCACCAGCTCCACAAATTAACAAGTTAGGTTGAAGCCATCTGCAAAACTTGCAAGGAAGAGCCGCTCCCGGCTCGTTGTCATATCATTATATAATATATAACAAAATTGCATCTATACCTTGGCTACTTTCGTGCAATCCAAATAATTTGAGGAAACCCGATAAGATTTGGCTGCAATAGCTCTCTAGGCTGGTGGCTGTGATAGAAGTTTAGGGGTTCCTATCATCTAGGCTGCCCACAAGTGCCAAGAAAAGCGCATGGCAAATCATGACAATCCTTGGAGTCATCCGAAGCGTACTTGTACTCCCGCCGATAAGTACGACTGTTGCGACGTTGGCGGCGTTGGTACCTGGCGTCCGGTTCGGAGAGGAGCATCGATCACCAAGCCCACCACTACAAGGGTGGCACTTGTGGATGCGCCTTGGGAACATACCCAACTTAAAAGGTGAAGCTGGTGAAGTCCCCCCTTAAAAATACCGGCATTGGGAACTTCGTGATATGAAGCAAAACAATCGCATGACCAAACATGTTGTCCAAAATAAGCAATCATGAAACCATCTGCTTGTGATGGTGACTCACGTTGCTGAAAAACGAGGACCTGCGCCCTGCAAAAAAGAAACGTCACATACAAACCAATTCCCCACCTATAGTTGTACGGTTTCTTCGAAGTCGTTGCCGTGGTGTCGGGCGCCGCTGTCGTAGTAGTCGTAATGTCAGGAGCTGTAGTAGTATCATCGGCAGCTGTAGTAGTGGCTGCCGTGGTGGGCGGTGCCGTGGTGGGCGGGGCCGTGGTGGGCGGTGCCGTGGTCGGCGGCGCCGTGGTGGGCGGCGCCGTGGTCGGCGGGGCCGTGGTCGGCGGCGCCGTGGTCGGCGGCGCCGTGGTCGGCGGTGCCGTGGTGGGCGGGGCCGTGGTGGGCGGCGCCGTGGTCGGCGGTGCCGTGGTCGGCGGCGCTGTGGTGACAATGGGGCAGCACTGAGAACAATCGATGTTCGTGGGATCTGGGTTTCCGCCGGACGTTCCAGCACAGCAAAAAGTCCCGACAGGACAGCGCGTCAGCATCTGTGCAAGTAGCGGTACAAATGGGCGTATTGCTTGGTGGTCCGGTCGTTGGGCAGTTGACGCCCGTGCATGAGCATTCGCCGCCATTCAAGTCGACCGTCATGCCCGCGCAGGCATTGTCACCACTGCATGATAGAGACAAGCAGGTGCCGGCATCGAGTGTCAACTCTGCTTGGAAACAGGCCTTGAAGCCGCTGCAAGTCATCTTCACTTCTGAGTTTGCGCCGAATGTCATCGCGGCTTTCTGGCAAGAGCCTTGGTCACTCCCAGCTCCACCCAGACTGTCGCATGTGACGCAATGGTCATCACCTGCAGAGAATGCAAACCCACCCTTGTCTCCGCCACCGGTTTGGTCACCACAACCTTGCTTGGCTTGACAATAGAAGTCCTCAGTACGAGCGAAATCGGAAGGGCTTGCTTCATTCCTATAGAGCCAAGTGACATGGAAAATTCTAGTACGAAAATAAAGTCATACGAATTCAGAAAATCTATGACGAATCCAGAAAAAGTGGTCGGGGAAAAAAAAGTAGTACGAATGGGTGGGGTCAGCACCGCACAGCTGATGCACACTTCTACATCACTGCCGTCATTTTCCATCGCTGCCGGGAGCCTCAGGTCAAGTGCCTTGACAACGAAGGTACAAAGAGCCAAACTGTTTGCTCCATTCTCGTCTGTAGTATCCTAAAGAACGCTGGAGCGTGCTGGCTGGCGCTGTCCAAGCATGGGTCCGTCGGGACACTCTTGAAATTCTACCTATAAAGTCCTCATCGGTCCACGTGCAGTGGACAGATGGGTTTTGGATCCACTCAGAGGTGCCCCCTTGCAGAGAAAGCATTTCCTCTATGTCCAACCTTGGAGTGCAATCACGAACTTGGACCCACACCAGACTCGAGATTGGTCAAGCTAGTGTCAGCTAAGGGGCAGCAAATGACAATACATATGGAGTTTGGGTCGGATGTAGAAATATTTCAGCCCGATCCTGGAACATAGCCTGGCCAATGTAGTATAACCCTCCTTAGAGAAGGTTCAGCAAAACAGAAGTTCCCAAGGCCAAAAGGGTGAACCACAGGAGTACCCAAGATGTTACGTTAAAACAGCGGCCCAAAACTTTGTTTTCAGGATACCGTGGGGATCCGTGGGGTATGCTAGTTGCACTCAGGTTTGCGTGAGAGGGGTTCTGGAGTTTTGCCCAAGCTTCTGCCCAATCCCAACCATCTTGGGCAAGTTGGACACCTTCCTGTCGACCCATCCACAACCCGTGCTTGTAAAGGGATCGCCAGAAACGGCCACTCGCTGCGCAACTCCAGCGCATCACTTGGAGAATTTCTCTCCATTCATCGCCCTTCAATCTATATGCAAGTCGATCTAACAGGTTTTGATATGGCACAGCCACCATACAGTCACGGTCACCACAAAAAATAGCATGCCAATTCATGCATGGCTCGGCTGAGGCCATATCGACCTGCTGCAGTTCATGGTCAAGCCACGCGCCCACGGTCGCGCTGTCTTGCCCCTTCCCGAGGCCGCCGGGTGATCCGCGAATCCTCCAAGCTGATTACCCGCAAAATGGGCCACTCAAACAAATGAGTACTACAAAATATTAGGGGAAATCAAAAGCGACAAAACGCGTCCCGGAACCACATTGCAGACTAGAAACGAACCTCCTTTCAACTTGAAGGTTTTCTGCGAGAATTCGCGGATCGACGTGGTTTTGTGGTGGGATTCGCACCACGCAGCATACCGATGGTAGGCACAATCAAATTGACTTGCAGTCGGGCCATCTCCAAAGCACCCACTCAGCATCAACACTAGTATGCAGCTGGCGTAGTAGGTTTTTCCCACTCCATCAATCGCCCAAGTGTGTGCTGGGTCAATCCGCACCAGCTTTGGGCTTCCTCGAAAATACTGAATGTCCCGAAGTGGAGAACGCTGGTTCTTGAAGGGGTTTGGATTGACTTCTGAAGGCCGCAGCTTCCTCACAACATGCTTTATATCCCACCAGTCCTAGATTGCATGGTTGCAAAAGACAACATCTTTGGTGAGCTTTGTGGTGATACAAAAACCCCTTCATGATACGTCCCAGCCCCCAAACTATTCCAAGTGTTCAACAAAGCTTCACGGACCTTGCAGCGGTGGCATTTGTCTTTGCAATTGTAGCCGCAATTAAGAGCCATGCTTGACCTCAAGAAAGGCCAATCCCCTTTCAAGGCGACCACTGCGAAGCGGTACTTGTACACCTTTCCGCTCCAAAGAACCTTACAACTTACAGTCACAGTCGATTTGAGGCTTTAGTGGTGGTGGTTGTGGGTTTGGCACCCTTGATGGCACAACAAAAGATTGACTTAAAATTGCCTTTAGGGCTAAGGGGCTGCGATGCCGTCTTCTGCCATGCCGTTCAGGTCGTCGACCCACGCGTGCAGCAAATCGAACAAACAGGCAGTGGTGTAGGGTGCGGGAAGGATGGTGTACAGCAATCGCGTGCACATGCTAGGCCTTAAACTCCAAAGATTGACCCCGCATGCTCCACCCCATCGAAACAACACCATGGGAAAAATCAATAGAACATAAGAACAACCATATGCAGATCAGGGCACCCTTGCATGTTTGTTTTAAACTCAGGGCGAAGAGGGGGCAAAGGTTGAAGGCTCATTACCATGACCGGGTGTTTTAAACGACCTCGGCCTTCGTCGCCATGCAAAGCTATTGGTATTGTGTGATCCCACCGAGACTCTGGCAACCCGTATTCCGGGTGGGTAGCGCTAAATTTCGTCCAGAAGTCCACCAGAGTGTTTGAGAACCAATCAGATTGGCTCAAGTCTTTGCCTTGCAAAAAGAAGTGACCTCCGTTGCTGAATATCAGCTCTGCCCAGCTAGAGGGATATAGAACAGGATGCTCAACTCTATGCCTCTTCTTTTTCCTTAGCCACTCTGTTGGAATCTTGCTGGTGCGAACAGGGAGGCTCTTCTGGAACTTGCGGATTGTATGATGTAGGTTCCTGCAAGTGTGCGAGTCACTTCGCGACTTTCCACACCGAGCCATCTTGGAGAGCAAGGTGTCGGCCAAACCTGCCAATGGATAGACATATTGGCAACGGAAGACAATGGGCACACACACAAAATGCAAAACTCCATGCGCGCACGCCCGTGTAAGCCGGTGTGACAGCGTGCAACATCTTCAACCAAGGCGCCGTGCTTATGTAGCCTGTTGTTTGCTACACCAGCTAGCCGTACAACACGGGCAGCTGATTCTGCCTCAGAGTCAGTGTATATGGATCGGTCAATTCGCTAGAAGGCTCGAAGAAAGCTGACAATTCAACGGCATAAAACACAGGTTCAAGCACTTGAGGCTCTACTACGCGCTACTTGAGGCGTATGTGAACTTAAAGACCAATGCTTTTTAGTGTCTAGCTAGAGGACTGCGACCTATTCTCACTTTCTTAAGCCCAAGCAACTCCAGCTTCCAAGCCAGCCAAAAGTTCATCAGCCAGGTCGTTGTCATCTTGGTCGTTGAGGCCTGCTGCTGAAACGGTAAAAATGGGAGAGAGGGAGAAACAACACCAGCCTGCAGAATCCACTCGAGAAGAAAAGAGTCGACCACGGCATTGACCTGCGATGGTCAGGTTAGTTTCAATCCCTTTCCCAACCAACAAAAATCTGTGTGTTGATTTTCAATCTCAGCTCGTTGTGCTTTTAGATTTTTTCAGGCCACTGCCTCACTCCAAGTGGAATCATGAGTTTCAATCCCGCTATGTTGACTCGGCAGCCAGCAGTGTTTGTTATTTATCACAAAACATTGTGGTGCTTTAGGTAGGGTATATATATATATATCAGAGCTGGCTGCATTGCAACAGAACCCAGAAAGTGTGGTCTCACACCTCCCCACGGCAAAAAGCACCAGCTGCTGTTGAGCTGGACTTAGCTTTCATCGGCCACCTTCGCAGCCTTTACCACCTTAGTAGGCTTAGCCTTGCCGCTCTTAGTCTTAGACTTAGAGCTCTTGGAAGTAGTCTTTGGTTTTCCTGGTGCAGCTGCCTTTCCATTAGCCTTAGCAGCCTTAACACCTTTGATGGATTTGACGGCCTTGACGGCCTTGATGGTCCTTCAGGCAAGTGAGAGGCGCATGCTACGATATCTTTCTGGTCCGGGTCCTGGCACGCACCACAAGGTTGTTGAGGGCGACGTCAGTACGGGTGCAGGTAGCACAGAGTTTCAACATCTCCTTCTGTTGGTCTGGCCTGGCTCGCAAGGAGCAGGTTGTTTCGCAGTTCTTTCTTATAATAATATAGATAGCTACAATAGCTAGGATCATATTGAAATATCAAATGCTATCAATGAAACTTGCCTTGCCGATCGCGCCACTGCGACTTCAGCTTGGAGTGACTCAAGCTGTTCGTACAACCTTTTCATGGTGTTCATATGCACCTTGATTTGGTCTGCGGCCCTTAGGAATCACGCCGCACACATGCTGGACATGTTCAGCAAGTTCTCCAGCCTTGACGAATTGGTACACTCAGGCGCCAGCAGTTTGGATTGGGTTGTTCCGATCTTGTCCAGTTTGTCCTGGAGAGCTCACGTACTAGCCATTAGCTTTGTAGGGAGACAAGATTCCAATACCGGTCCAGCAAACTAGCAGTTGAGTCAATCTTTTTGCCACAAACTTGTAAGAATTGCGGTAGGATTGCAATAGCCGAGGAGTTCTCTTGCACGGAAGGAAATACGAGCCTAGACATCAGAAACACTAAACCATATTCATCTAAACAGGCGTTTGCAAAGTGAATATCGTTTGCACGCAGCTAAGAAAGTGGCCGGAAGGAACCATGCCCAGCCAGGTCCGCTTCGGCGGTGTCACTGGACTTGCCCTCTCCATGCTGAAGGAGCTTGTCCATGGAAGATTCGAACGCTGGCCCGCTCTCCTCGAACACAGACCCGCTGGTATCCTCGAGCGTGTGCTGGGTGTGCCACATCATGTTAATATATGCATGGCATATACAAATCTAAAATCGCCATGGTTTGGGCACAACAGTCCGAACCGTGTTGAAAGACTCTAAGATGAAACGCCGCAGACCAAACTCATACTAGATTCTTCAACTTCCATTCGGCACTGCTGAGTTGAGGATGTGCCGCTTTCATCTTTGAACATAAAGGATTCACCAAGGACCAGCTTGGCCTCTTCTTCACCATGCATGCAATTCACCCTAGTCAAAGACCTTGCAGCAGCCCAGACGAAGGCTGCATCCGCCATCTTCCTTGATCATACATATACGCGAAGGGGTGAATGTTATGCATGTGTGCATGTCGTATACTACATTGCTGCGCGAGTGAACGTTGACCAAACTAAGCACTGATCCGTGTCCAGTGTTCGGCATTGACGAGGTAGTGCTTTGTGAC